AATAAATATAGTAGTAAATAAATATAATAAATATAATATATATAATATAATTACTTAAAAATCTCTTTATATACAATCTTTTTTGTAAATGTTCTAATTATAATATTGTTTTGCTTATTTTTAACTAATATTTTAATATTTTTTCTTGATTTAACTTTAGCTAAAGCAGTATATAGTGTTCATGGGCAAATACAGATATTGGCAAATATAAATCAATATATAGAATTATTTGGTTTTGTGCTTTATTAATAGTTATTGCAAAGGTTAAACATATTAGAAACTAGCATCAAATTAATTAAAATAGTAAATCAGAATTAGAAAATGCTATTCGAATTTGAGAAATAAAAACTTATTTTCCAAGATATGAGTCTGTAACAATTTCTGCATTAATAACATATTGAATTTCTTTAATAATTAATTTAGTTCTATTGCAAAAACCTTCACTGAAACTAATATTATGTAATAAAATTATTAGAACTTCAACTTTAATATTAATCTATAAGAAGAAGTTTTACTTAGTATCAAAGTATTTAGAAATTCAACTAGATAAAGATTTTAATATACTAAATTCTTATCCTTAACAGAATCTGCTAATAAAAATTTATATAAATGTTCTGGAAATATATTAATAATTTGCTTATTAATATAACCTACATCTTTATTTTTTAATGTGAAAATAGCTTAATCTATAATATAATTTGAATAATTATCAGTTTGATAATTATTATTAATATCAAAAAATGGATCTAATATTAATGATTCAATTTGTTAATTATTAAAGAACATATTATCATCTAATCTCACAATATTATTACCAATATCAGTATATATTAGTTACAACCTTCACCAATTCTTAATAAATAATCAGCAAATTCTTTTTTCTTTTCATTCTGGCTTTAAAGTTTCATATTAATTATTAATGCCAATGTTTTAACATGTTTTTATAAATAAGAAGATTTAATATAGGCATTAACAATTTATGCTTATGTTCTTCAAGATACAATAGGCAAAATTTGCCTAAAGTTACTACTAATTACAACAATTTTTTTTTCAAATAGTTTATTATTTTCTATTAAATCTTTGAGTGTTTGATTAAGTGCTTCAAATATATATTTGTGTTTTATTGGTTCTTCATTCCAAATAATAAGCTTATTACTTTGTATTAAATTAGCCAAATCAGACTGTTTACTAATATTTAAAGTTGTAATTTCAGTAACTTTTAAAGAAATTTTAAATTTGAAATGTGTAGTTTTTTCTTTAGTTAATAATAAAGCTGCAATTCCAGATGAAGCAATAGCAAGAGTAATTCCAAAACTTCTTTTTGTTCATGCCAATAGCATGTTAAATAAAAATGTTTTTTCTGTACCTTCAGATTCATTAACAAAAAAGAATTTTTGTTTGGTTGTATTATTTTTATTTAAAATTTTAATAATAGTATTATAAATTAATTTTTGATCAACATTTAAAAGATATTTTTTTTGTAATATATAATTGATTTCATTTGAATCAAAATCAACTTTCTAATCTTATATACTATATTCCTCAGTATTTTTAATCAAACTATAATCAGATGCAGAAAATAAGTAATTAGTTAAATATTTTTCATAATATAATAAATATTTTTCAATATCTATTAATGCTTTGGTAATGATTACTTGATATTCATCTACAGTTAATTCATTTTTTCTTGTAAGTCTTTTTTGTTTTCTTTTATAATTTTTAACTAAAAAAATGTACATTTTTATAAAATAATTTTTTTCAATCTAATTCTTGTGAATTACAAAATAGTAAGATTAAGGCAAATAATTGTCATAATTTTAATAGCATTTTAAAAGATACAGCTTTTTTAATGCATTTATTAAATTCATTATTTTCTTCATTCAATAATTTAAGTTGGCAAGTTGCATCTTCATATATATTATAAAGTATTCTATTTACAGTTCGAATTGCTTTAAAATTAATAGCACTTTTGACTTAAACTAATAACATTTGCAAAAAAAATCTTTCTTTTTCATATGAACTATACATATACATTCTAGATATAATTTTTTTACCATCTTGCTTTCTTTGTTACCAGAATCCATTATTTTAAACAAAAAATTTTGAAAAATCTATATATTGTAAATTCATTATATTTGAATCATCTTGAATTGCATTGTATATATCAGAATACCTTGTTAATTTTGTATTAAAAGATTTTGCCAATACAGTAAATATTTGTTTATTTTAAGTAATAATAATAGATTGCTGATCTTCTAAATAAACTAGTAATTATTTAACTTTATATAATCTTTTTTGCAAACCAAAATTGAATAATCTCTAATATGCTTCAATAGCAGAAACATATCTTGCATTTATATATTGTTCAATTTCATTTTTAGGATTTTCAATTTTAATAATAGCTTGATCAAATACTTTATAAATATATTTGTAAAGATATTTTATTGATCGAATACTTGAGCATATCTTTACATTAATATGACAATTATATTTTTAACAAAGTTATGAATTGTAAGAAACAATGCATTTATTATCAATAATATATTGTTTTTTTTTAATTGTTCTTCTATTATCTCTTCTTCAGTAAATTGAATATCCAAATTTATTAATTAATATTATTGTAGTAAATTTTTTATAATAATATTTACTACATTTATTATTTTTTATATATTGTGATTTTGGATTTAAGTTTTCATAGAGGCCATAAACTATATTTTTGTTTACTGTTTCATAAAACAGAAGTTAGAGATTTTTATCAAAAATTTTTGCACAAACTATTTTATTAAAATCTTTAGGGGTTTTTGACTTATCTTTAAATACTAATATCATAAGAATATATATATATAGCAGTTCTCTTTTTTGAAATTCAATTGTATAAACATGTGCAATAACTTTTCCAAGTATATCATTTATAAATAAATCTTGTGTAATTGCTTAAAGTTTTTGTTTAAAAACTCTAGCAACTATATTAGGTTTGTTAGAAGCTTGTTGTTTTTTATTTTTAGATCTATTTAATAATTTATTAATTATTTTTAGCCATTTGGAATTGCAAGTTATAGTAACAAATAAATTAGATTTGCTATATTCTCTAAAAATTGCTATAGAATCTTAATATAGTTGTTGCATATATTATTGAGATTCAGTAAAAGATAATACTAAAATAACTTTTTTGGCAATATTTTCTATAGTAATATTATTAGAATTAATAATATCCTGTAGATCTAAATAAATTTCAGATCTAAATTGTGATTGATTTTTTCTATACTATTGTAAAATATTTAATTTCTATTTGACATACTGATCTACTAAATATTGTTAAAATAAATAATCAAAAAGATGTAAAATATTTTATGTTTTGTTATAATTTTGAACTTAAATTCTATAAATAACAAATTCTTGAATTGTAGCTCATTTTGCTTTTTGTTTTAATTGGTATACTTGAATTTAATTCAAATCTTTATCTCCTAATATAATTTCATCTTCACTTTTATTATTAATTTTAACTATTTCTTCATTATATTTAACTTCTGTTCTTTTTTTAATTGCAACTATTTCTTTACTAACTTCAATTTCTGTTTTTTTTTTCTTTTAATATTAGATTCTGTACTTATATTTGAGACAAATCTAACTAATAAATTTTTAAATGCTTCTGTTGCATCAGTACTTTTAGCAATACTTATTGCTCGATAAATTGAAATTTAATTAGGATCAAATTCTTTATTATTAAATTCTTCAAATTCATTATTAGATTGTTTATTATCTGATATAGTTATAATTTTATTAGCTCTCAAAATATTGTTATGCCACCATATTCATTATAAAGAAATAATAAAAGATATTGTAATAGATTATAAGCATCATGTAGTTTAGAGATTTTTTGTAACTTTCCTGTATGTGTTTTAAATAAAATATCTCTTTTTTGAATTATAGTATTTTTATAATTTTCTAAAATAATTGCTGCAATTTCTGGTACTGTTAGTTAATTGTATTGTCTTATATCCTTTTCATGTATACTATAAATTGTTAATATTAAATCAGAATAATTATCTGCTTTAAATCCTGTTTGATAAAATATATTAACAAATAGATTAATTTTATATAATTCATTTTAAATTGCTTGAATCATATTTTTATATAATATTGGTATTAAATCTATTTATCTTATTATTTAATTATCCAAACTTGAATTATAAAAATAAATTTATATAAAATTTGGATCATAATTTCTTTTAATTTTTTTAGATATTAAAAAACTAATTTTATAATATAAAGCTTCTTATATTCTAAATATATAAACACCTTCTTGTGTATTTGCTAATGTTTCATTAAAATTTATTTTTAAAAAAGTAAATGCAAATACTGAATTATATGCTTGAATTTGTTCTATAAATAATTTATTAGTATTAGGATCATTTGTTATAAGTAAATTACAAAGCATATTTAAAGCAAATATAAGTAATGCAATTTTAACTTGCTTATTTATATAACAAAATGAATTTGGTTCATTTTTTATTTTAATGTATGACAATAATTACAAATTAAATTTATTGCTCTAATTGTTTATTGTTTAGCTTTAATATTATTATATTTAATCTTATTTTTATTATAATTTTTAAGTTCACATTGACCAATTTTATAAAATTATTCAATTTGTTATTGTTGAATTGTTTATATTCTTTTTTTTTGTTATTATTTATTTTAATTTTTTGTATTGTAATACCCTGAATATTTGCTTGCTTAAAAATCCCTATTCATAGAGTATCTCGGGTCGGCTTACATAACGTTAAGCAATATTACTACGAAAGAGGACGTGGATTTGGCAGAGCATATGCTTTATTAGAGTATATGTGGATTATGTTTTTCCTTACAAATGCTTTGTGCTATATA